CCACCTTCTGGGCACCAGTCCCCCACCCCGGCCACCTTCCGGGCACCAGCCCCCCCGGAAGCACCCCAACTCCACTCTGAAGTCAAACTCCTCTCTCCCAGCTCCCCACTCCCCCATGGTCACAGCGATTTCTGTTCTCACCAGGTCAAGTCAAGCCTGGGATCACACTCACAAGACTCAGGAAGGCGCCCCCCGAGCCACCCCCCACCCTTCACACCCCGGGGGCCCGCTCCCCCGCCCCTGCCTACCTTGGGGGCTCCTGCCTGTGGTCTTTGCCTTCCCAGCACGGGGGGCCTCTGCGGCCTTGTGTGGCTGCTGGGGGGTGCTGGGGGCCTTGCCCAGCCTGGCCTCTTGGTCCTTGCTCCGGCCACCTTTTTGGGGAGCCCTCTCTTTGCCCACGCCTGGCTTGCGGGCAGCCGTCGTCCTCCCCTCTGCTGGCTTCTTGGGCCCCCTTTTCACCTGGCCTGGGCAGGGAGGGTCTTTCTTTGCCTTGCTGGATTCCTTGGGGGTCTCCTTGGCTGCACCTGCTTTGGGGTGAGCCGCCCTCCCCTCTCCTGGCTTCCTGGCCTCCCTTTTGGCCTGGCCTGGGTTGAGAGGGACCTTCTTTGCCTTGCTAGGCTTCTTGGGGTCCTGTTCTTTGGCCGCCCCAGCATTTCTGGGCACTGTCTTGGTGGATGTCTTCCTGGACTGGGTTTTCCTTTTGTGTTTGGGAACCAGCTGGAGGAGGAGAGAGTGGTGGGTTGAGGAGAGAAGTTCTGGGGGCCCACATGCCCTATGCCCTGTGGAAGACTGGGGTGAAGCAGTAGGTGACCAGGGGCTGCTCCCATGCGCCTGTGCAGGTGAGGCAGCCAGGCCTGAGGCGCTGTGCGGGAGGTGTGTGAGGTGAGCAGCTGGGGACCCAAGGCTGAGCGGAGCCTGGCTCCCTCCCGCACCGGCGGCTGGGAGCAGCCCTTCCTGCGGGGTGGGGTTGGGGGCAGGTAGAGGCCTGCTCCCCTGGCAGCTGTAGCTGGAAGCTGCAAAGCCAGGCCCCTGCGCGGCACTTCGGGCCAACATCGCTTGACGCCCCCATGCTTTCCCAGGGATGCTGCTTCTGCTCCCCTCCTTCTCTGAGAAGGCCCCCCACCTTCCCCTCTCCACACCAGCTCTTCCCCCCGACCTCCCGCCCCACCTGGGTGCCCCAGACAGTGGCTTAGAGTTCACAGCTTCCTCCAGCGCTCCTCCGCCCCGGCCCCCACTGGGTGACTCTTACCCTGGTCACGTGTGCCATCAGGGAGAGCGTGAGCCCCGAGGGTTGTGAGGACCCCCAGCCAGCAGGAGGCCCAGCCCTGATGTCACTGCTCTCAGCCCCCAACCCGCACGGCCCCTCCCTGTCCACCAAGACGGGGGTCCCACGGTGACACCCCAGCCCTCCCCGCCCCGCCCCCTCGGCCCCTCCCTGTCGGCCCCAGCCGCACCTTGAAGCTGCCGGTGGCGCCCTTGGCCTTGGAGTTAGCGGGCCTGGTGAGGAGGCCACGGTTCACGCCCGTGGCCAGGGCCTGCTTCAGCAGGTACTTGAGCCGGATGACGTCCACTGCCGGGTACTTGTGCAGGATGAAACCCTTGATGGCCGCAACCGAGGTGCCCCGGCGCTGCTCGCCCGCCCTGAGCGCCTCCAGCACCATGTTCAGCACAGGTGGGTGGCGGCGTATCCGGCGGACCACAGTGTGGCTTGGGCCTACGGGTGACCACAGGCGTCAGCCCAAGTCCAGGCCACCCTCAGGCCCCATCGACGACAGACAGGCTGTGACCAACCCACCAGGGGCCAGATCCCAAGGAGGGTGGGCAGGGGCACCAAGCACTGTCCCCTGTGCCCGTGAGCGGCCCCAGGGCCTCTCCCAGTGCCAGGGAGGAGCTGGCATGCTCCAGGGGCTTTGAGGCTCAAGGAGAGACGCCACCATCCTTTGAAAGAGCAACCCTCAGTTGGCCAGCTGGAAGCCCCCTGGTGAGACCTGCCAAACCCTGCCCACGAGGAACTCTCCGCCCTGCAGCCTGCTTCTTCTAGAAAGTCATGAGGAGGAAGAGAGGGCCCCAGAGAGCAGGGGTCCTGACGCGTCCCTTCAGCTGAAAGCATTGGGACGGGCGTGCTTGACAGGCCCAACTGGAATCCGCCATGGAACAAGGAGCCTGTTCAATAAATGGTGCTGGGCGAACAGGACCACCGTTTGCAAAAAAAAAATAAATGAATAAAATGAACCCAGACCACCACCTCACACCATGCACAAAACCAGCTCAAAGTGGATAAGAGACTGGAACAGAAGACCTGATACCATGAAACACACTGAAGAGAACATAGACAAAACGCTCCATGACATACACCTCAGAAACTTCCTTGAGGACTCATCTCCAGAAACAAAGCGACGGAGATCAACACCTGGGACCATAGCAAACTGAAAAGCTTCTGTACAGCAAAGGAGACAGAAACCAAAACAAAGGGACACCCACTGGGAGAGAACGTTGGCACTCCATACAACCGATGAGGGGTTGGCATAAAGATCTACAAAAAACGTACACAATGTAACTAAAACAAGGCAACAGCTGGGCAGAAAAAATGGGCAGAAAATCCAAAAAGACACTTCTGCAAACAAGAAATGCGAGTGGCCAACAGACATGAAAAAAATGGTCAGCATCACTTATAATCAGGGAAATGCAAGTCAGAACTACAGCGCGATCCCGCCTCCCACAGGTGAGAACGGCCAGATCAAAAAACCGGTGACAACCCAGGCTGGCGAGGATGTGGGGGAACTGAACCCCTCACTCGGCGGGCGCAAGCGCAAACGGGCCCGGCCACTGCACCAGGGGTGCGCAGCTCCCGGAGCTTGAGAACGGAGCCGCCCTGACCCAGCGAGGCCACTCCTAGGGGTCTACCCACAGGGCACAATAACAGCAACTGGAAAGGAAACCTGCACCCCGCGTTTGCTGAGGCGCTGTCTACCATAACCAAGGTATGGGAACAACTTAAACACCCAAAATAGAGGCCTGAATTAAGAAGAGGCAATCTATATGCTGAACGGAATACTACTAAGCAACGAAAAAGATAAACTTATGCCATTTGCGGCAACATGGATAGAGCTAGAAGGGATCATGTTCAGTGAAGTCAGAGGAAAAAGAAAAATACTGGATGGTTTTGTTTATAGGAGGAATACAGGGGACCCAAACGAGGGATCAGGGAAAGATAGAGAAAACTAGCAAGGACTATGAGTAGGAGACATTCAGCGGGCAGAGGGGAGGGATCAAAACAGGGGTGGGAGGAGCACAAGGGACTGTGGGAATGGTTCATGTGTGACTGAGCCCTCCCAAGGAACCCGAGGGTGCTGCTAGGGCCCCTGGGCCTGCGGTGACAGCTCGCCTGCCTCCAGGCCACCCACACCCCTTCTCTCTCCGGTGCCCCCTGCTGGACTCAGCCCTTCACTCCAGGTACCGGCTACTGTGCCAGCTGCGACAGAACTCTTGTCTCCTCCAAACCTGCGCTCCCAGACCGCACCCCCCTCATGCCTACCCAGACACCCACACAAGGCGCCAGGGATCTCCTGGGCCTCCCTCCCCATAGGCCTCTGTCCTTCCAGCCCGGCCTCTCCCCTGGCCCCAGGGCCCAGCTTCCTTCCTGCAGCCTCTCCAGAGCTCAGTCCTTCACCGCCTCCGGGAGGACTTGGGAGGCCAGTCTGACCCCCCTGCCCTCTCTCACCACTGTTCCCCAACTCATGCCAGCCAGAGCTCCCCAGATGCCCACCTCAGCACCTCGTCTCTGGCCATGGACACCCAGGGGCCCTCACCGTCCTTCAGCAGCTGAGTCAGCCGCCCTGACTTCCCCGATCAGTGGAACATCTCTACCCTGCGCTCCTGCAGCGACTCAGAACATTCCGCCGGGCGAGGCTTAGCCGTCCTTCAGGGTCATCTTCTCCAGAAAGATGTCCCTCACCTCCCAGAGGGGTAACAGCCATGAACGCACAAGCCCCTGGTTTGAATATTTCCCTTCGTGAGGCAGCTCGTCCAGCAGCCTGGGAGCACTTGAGAGAATGAGCTGGGGCTGTTTGCCTCAGTGAACCCCATACTCAGAGAAGCCCCAAGGCATTGTTTGTGGGCTGAAAGTGTGGGTGCCACCAGCCCCGGATCGAATGCTTGTGGCTTCCGTCCCTCCAGTTAGCCGCGCTGCAGTTGCAGCCCCGGCCAGCCCAGCCCCCACAGGTAATGGGCTCCAGCTGTCTGCTCCCCGGCCTCGCTGGGGCCTTCTGCCCTCTATCCCAGCCCTACCGGCCCGATGCAGTGGGCATCAGCTCTCCCGCCAGCGGGCATGTGACCTCAACAGCTTCCAGGGAGGGTGTGGGGGGCCAGGCCGGAGTGGAGGCACAGCGTCGGAGGGAGGGCTGGGGCCCACAGGGCGCTCACGACAGGGGGGCGCGGCCGCCCTCGGCTCACCTGGCTTTTCAGGTCCATCTGACCCCGAGGAACCCGCTGCAGAGGTCGAGGGCAGGGAGGAGGCCGAGGAGGTGGTGGTCTCGGAAGAGAAAGTAGAGGAGCCGCCGCCGAGAGCCATGGCGGGAGCAGATGCAGGTGGCGGGCCTGCCCCAGGTGTGAGGCTGCCCGCCTGCCTCTGGCTATATACCAGCGCCCCGCCCCCACTCCAATTAGCCCCCGATTGGCTCGCAGGCTCTGGCGCTGATGGGGCGGGAAGGCTGGGCCACCAGGCACCAGCGTGGCCTGGTTTCTGTGTGGCCTCCGTGAGTTGCTTGACTTCTCTGCTCAGCCCCAAGGCGAGATGATGGCGGCTGAGTCATTTAAGCTGTGTGCCTTGCGCTCCGCTCCCAAAGGCTCTCCCGGGAAGTGGGAACACCTGTCCCTCCAAGCCCATCTCCAGGCCACGCCCCTTCCCAGGCCCCTGCCAGCCTCACCTTCTCAAATAGCAGCAGCTGGAGGCCAACCAGTGGGTTTTGCCGGAGTGGGCATCTTTAAGTCATGAGAGAGAGCAATTTTTAAATAAAATTGCTTAGCAAAGGTGCCACAAATAAGGAAAATGTCCACTGGGAAAACGGGCAAAGAATATGAATAGGAAATTCAGCAGATAGGTCAATAAACACAGGAAAATATTCTCAACTTTTTTGGCATTCAGGGAAATTCAAATTAAAACAATGATAAGATATTATTTTCCCATCAATTGACAAATTAAAGACAAAGTGTTGGCAAGGATCCAGGCCCTCACTGCCTCTGCCAGGGGTGTACACTGGGGCACAGCCTTCTTTGGAGAGGTATTCCCTCAGGCCAGCAACTTCTCTGTTCTAGAAGTGCATTAGTTGGAAAAGAAATAATTGCTGCATTATTTGGAAAAGAAAAAAAAGTAGAACTAACTTCCAAGTGAATCACTCAGGGCCTGGCTAAACGATTCCCTTACTGTCTCTGCAGCCATTTAAAATGATGAGGTGGTTTAAAACAAGGATGAGACGCTATTCACACCCTGCAGAACACCCATCAATAGTGGGTATCCAGGATGGGAAGAAAGACTTCCTCTGGGAGAGGAAGTCAGTAGCCACTTTAGAAAGCAAGTCGGCAATGTCTAATCCAACTAAAGACGGATGCGTTCCACCCCCTCCCACCCCCGCCTGCTTCACGCTGGGCGTAAAGCTACAACTGCCACAACATTGCTCCATCCTTAGCAGGAATTCATCAAGAGGCAATCATATGGTCTAGCCACACAGTGGCATAGTATACAGCAGTAAAAAAAGAACGGCCCAGACTGTATCTGAATGTGTCCCACTTTGGGGAAAACATGCATGTGTGTAAAGGCACAGAATGAGGTCTGAAAGATTCGGACCCCAGTAAGAACGGTGGCGGGCATGGCTTTTAAGGCAGAGAACAGACTTGCGTTTTTCTCTATGTAGTCTCTTCATGGTTGGAAATTTTTTCCAGGAAACTCGCCAGTGCTGCAAGTCCAGACCGAAGGAGGCTTGGCTATCAGAATGCTCTAGGTGAAACCAGCTACCACACCCCTTCCAGGCTCCCCATTACCCCGGGCGAGGGTGCCTTCTTTTCTCCAAAACCCCACACTTCAACCACTTGTGGCTCTAGGACTGGGCTAAGGGCGGGCACTTCTCTGTTTCCTGTGTGTGTGCGCGCGCGTGTGAGTGTGTTAGGTGGATGCAAAAATGACCGGATATTTCACGCCTGCCCAGTCTACACCCATTTGCATTGTAACTTCGCAGTTCCTTCCGCACTCCTCGGCCTGGAATTGCCCTTGTGACTTGCTTTGACCAGTGCGCATGGTGGAGATGCGGTGTGCCAGACCCACTGCCACGGAACAAGCCTGCTGGGTAGAGAGAGGCCCCGCCCCAGTTACCCCTGTCATCCAGGCAGCCTGCCCCGCTATGGGTGCTTGGGAGAGCCCAGCAGAGAGCAGCCAGCGGACCCACAGGGTGGAGAGCTTCGGTCCACAGCACCCTGTTTGAAGCCGTGAGTTCTGGCGACGATTTGCCACGCAGCAAAAGCAAACTGAAACCCTCGCCTACCGGGCCCCACCTACCTCCTCTGACTGCTTCCAACTGCTCTTTTGACCTCAGCCTGGATGGCACTGCCCTGGCCCCCTAGAAGCCAGGGGCCCTCTCTGGACTTGCCCCCTGGGGCCTCCAGCACCCTCAGGAGCAGCTGCCTCCTGGGCGCAGTGGCTCTTGAGCTCCAGGTGAGTTGGGGGGGGCAGGCGTGCCTGCTGTTCCCGGTGGTGTGCCAGGGCCAGCAGGCACTCAGCACGGCTGCTGTAGAGGTGCACCCCGAGCCCAGTTTGGCAGAGTCGGGCCGGGGATGAAAAGCAGCTGCAGCAGCTCGGACTTGAGCAGGAGACAGAGACGGCAGAGAGGCACGTGGTGCTGGCGCCAGGGGGGAGCAGTCTTGATCACATTTGTGGGGCATTTCCAAGAACTGAGAAACAGAGAAAGACTCAGCGATATAAACATTCCCATGAGCTTCGTCTGAAACCCTACTCCTGGGCAGTGCCAGGATAGAGCTTTGTGTTTGGAGGGAAGAAGTTCTAAAATGCGCTGCGTGATCTCAAAACCCCTCTGGGGGATTGCCTTTTTACAGGGAAGTGATGGCGAGCCGCCTGCCGGGGAGGGCTGCTCTCCCAGTCTGCGTGGGATTTGAGCCCTGCTAAAGTCGCCCACCACCGTGGAGCACTGGCTGGGCCCTCCACCCAGCTCCCCTGTAGCTCCGAGGACTGCGGACGGGAACGTCCGGGGACGGTTGCACGGCGTCTGTGCTGTCGGGACACCTGGGCCGCTGCTCCCTGCCTGGAGGTCGATCCATGCGCGAGCGCAGTAGACGAAGAGTTAACAGCTGCCGTGCTCAAGCGCCATGTAAATATTTTATGGTCACTGTTTTATTTATACATGAAGAAGCTGAAGTTCAGAGAGGACCTGCACTTAGATCTTCCCAAGTTCAGACCCTGGGCTGCCACCTGCAAGCTCTCTGTTAGTTAAGAAACCAGCTATGACTCCAAAATAAGAGTGGCACAAACTAGAAGCCGCGAGGAGAACACGTTCTCGGGAGACTCTTCAAGCGCAAGTGGGGCAGGGCCGCAAGGCAGCACGGGAGGCGCCGGGTCCTTCTCTCTCGGTGCACGGCTCCTCTGGGCCCACAGATGCTACCTCGAGATCGCAGGTAGCTGCTGCAGCTCCTGCCATCACGACGACATTCCCGCCATCAGGAGGAGAGGGGAGAGGAAGTGTCGACACTTCCATTCTCGGAGTGTACAGCCCAGAGGCTGATGACACCCCCCCACCCAGTCCTGAGGTCACGCCGCTGCAGGTGCAAGAGAAACTGGGGGAGGCGGTCTTGTGCTGGGTGCCTAGCTAGAAGTTGGGGTGTTGTTACTAAAAGAAAGGGAGTGAATACTGGGGGGGCAGTTAGCACTGGGTTTCCCCTCCCTGCAGCCCCCCGTTACCAGTCTGCTGCCCACCACGAGGCTCCTTCGCACCTGGGCTCAGATTTCCTGCACGCTGCTGTGCGTTGCGTCGCTTAGATCGATCATCCCATCTTCCCTTTAGACAATTCTACCCAGAACGATGTCTCCCCTTTAAAGTTGAGGGACTGAGATCTCCTGAGGTTCAAGGACTCCACCGGAGGCCAGCCGGCCGGAGGGGCACCCCGGGGAGCAGGCTGCTGGCAGCCAGCAACTGCAGTTGGGAGTCTGCTGACTCTCTCCTTCTTCCCCCAGAGGTGGGTCGGGGGAAGCAGGGGTGGGACCCCAAGGCTGGCCGCGTCGGAGCCCCCCTGAGCCCACGGCGCATCCTGGCCTGGGCACTCACACATCTGGCTGCTGCTTGGAGGCTGGCGATGAGGCTGACACCCCCTGCCCAGCCTACGTGGGCAGCACTGGTGCCTGTCCGTCAGTAGTTGTCTTGTAAATCAAGACGGCAAACAGATTTTCCTCACTATCAGGAAAAGCCGTAGAACTTTCTGTTTTGCTTTTTTTTTTTTTAAGATTTATTTATGCACACAGAACTGGGGTACAGGCCAGAGGTGCAGGGGCAGTAAGAGAATTCACCAGGGACAGAGTGGGGAGCAGAACAGGCAGATTGTCGAAATACGCTGCTGAGGAAGCAGCAGGCGGGTCAGAGGTCTGCCGCGCCATGTGGTCACCTCCGGGGCAGGCGGGGATAGAACTCATGCAGAAGTGGCTTTAGCTTCTCAGTGCTGTGCTTTAACCCGCTGCGCCAAAGTTTGGGGAGGCCCCAGACTTTCTGGCTTTGGAGTGAATTTTTACTCTGGCTGTGGGGTCAACCTAACATACAGCACCTTACAGTAAGTGGGTTGGGCTGAGGGGCTGTCTGCCAGGCAGGGCAGTGAGATGCCCCTGTTCCGCCCTCTGCCACCCTGACTCAAAGCTGTGTCTGCAATGAGGGCAACATCATGGACTCAACCATGGAGATTTTCTTGCGTCCCAGGTATGGGAGGGGCAGGTTGGCTCGGCTGGACCTCACTGCCTTAGGCAGAGGCCACCGGCTCTGGACGGCAGACGCCTCCACACCCCTGGGTTTCTTTAAGGCTCCTTCCTGCCCACCTGCCTGCTGACCTGGTGGGGTCAACACTGTCTTGGGCTGCGAGGGTGACCATGTGACCCAGGCCTGACCAATCTGAGGCTAAACCCCTCCCAGCTGGCACTAGGCTTGAGGCTGTAGACCTAGCTCCAACCAATGAGAGTCCTAGCTGGGCCTTTGCTGGCACTGGGGGAAGGAGAAGCCTGCTTAGCAGGGCTTGCTGCACCTTGAACTGCTGGAGACCATTTCTTCCACCTCTTGGAACAGTGGGCCTGGGCCTGAAGCCAGCACCAGGGAAGGAGAGGTCAGGAGGGGAGCCGGAGACGCCTGACTGCCCCACCTGCGCACCTGCACCAGACGTGCCTGAAGCTTGACACGCATGGGCCAGTAACTTCTCTCTCACGCTTCAGCCCAATTGAGCTGAATATCCTATCGGTAGCAGCAAGGGAATCCCAGCGACGTTACTTAGGGAGAGAGGGCAGAAAGGGGCAAAACAGGGGTGCTAGATATCACATGCCCCACTCTTCTGGACTCCTCAAGGACATTGCCCCCCCCACCTTGGAAGATGTGGGTAACCTTTGGGAGCCACATCTCCAGCCTGGTACCCTAACAGAGGGATGCTTGGTAAGGCCAACTCTGAGCTGAGGCCCAAGTAATGCCAAGTCTCCCCCATCTGCTGAGTCCCAGGAAATACTCTCATCTGACCCCCTCAAAGCCAGTTTAAGCTTCCCTTTTGTAGACCGAGAAGTTCAAAGAGGCTTGCTAGCAGCTTCACAGCTCACCTGGTCTCTTGACTTCACAGTTGGGGTTTTCCCCATCCCTAGGTCTGCTCCTTCCATCCCACCCCATCTGTCTGGGTGCCCAGACAGAACCCAGGGTCAGTCCTGGGTTTGCGGGTGCTGCCCAGTATCAATCCACCCTGCGGATGAAGAGCTTGAGAACAATGAAACCCACCACTGTTAACACCAGGTGTAGAAGCTGAGCTTTTAATGCCCCAATTTGTCTTGGTCTCCAGGCAGAGCAGGAAATGTTTGAGCTTCTGGCTTTGGTGGTATGAGAATGGGCCGACTAGGTGGCCAATCCTGAAGCTCCAGCCTCCCAGAAAGCTTTGCAGTAAAGCTTCCCCAGGATGGAGAATAGCCTGGAGCAGCTGAATGGACTCATTCATCAAGGGAGCTGCAATCTGGGACCAGTGAAGATCCCCAGGGTGGTGAGCCCAGCTGAATTCCCACTGTTTCTAAGTTCTTCATGACCAGGATGACATGAAGCTAAGCTCTTCATTAAAGTTGGGCTCCAGGAGAGCAGGTAATTTCCAGAAACTAAGAGAAAGGCCTATGTGTTGACAGGCTGCACTGGAAAGGGAGGCTCTGGGCCTGGATTCAGACCAGAGGTGGGACCTGGGGCCTTGGTTTCTTCAGTCTGATGGTGCATTCAGCATCCCTGGTCTGTCTGTCCCTGCAGCCTGCCCCCCAGTCCTGGTCTGGCCTCCATACCCGGCTAACATTTGACAACCTGCTAAGGCTGGATGCTTAGGACTTGCCCAGTCTCAAAGTGCTCACTATCGAGAGGATGTGATAAAGCAAATATGTGTTAAAATGTGAAGAGACATATCTGGTGATCATCTCTCAGTGCATACAAATGTCAGCTCACTGTGTGATATACCAAGAACGTAATGCTGTATGTCAATTCTACTTCAATTAAAAAAAAATCACCAATGGGGGCCTCCCTTGTGGCCTACAGCACTCCAGGGCGGCACGAGTTTGATCCCAGCTGGGGAGCTGATCCACGTGGCACAGCAGACCTCTCCTGTCTGCCCGCTGCTCCCCTCAGCAAGGTATGTCGTCCATCTGCCTGTTCTGCTCCCCGCTCTGCCTCTGGTGAGTCCTCTCAGCCCCTGCACTTCTGGCCTGTGCCCCAGTTCTTCTATGCAAATATAAATAAAAATCATACAACAAAGGAATAATTTGTCTTTTTTTTTTAAATCACCCAAACAGAAAAAAGGAGCTGATCTTTGCAATTAATTAATAAATTGATATTATGTGTATTGTCGACTACAACCTGTACAGCTCCTTACCATGTACAAAGTGCTAAAACATCCACACGCACATCGCATTCTCTCTCTGCCCACCCACATTTGGTCACAGCAGCTACGTTCAGCAGGGCTGGTGATGTGGGGTTTCTAGTTTACAGGGAAGAGTGAGGCCAGGGAGAAAAATGACCCTCAAGGTCATTAGCCAAGGACGAGCGGCCGCTGCTAAGGTTGTTGAGAATCTAGAAAAGCTGCCCTCCCCTCCACGCCTTCACTTGCTCCTCCATGCATTCCTTCCTTCGCCCAGCTAGCATTTATTAAGCACCTACTGTGTAGCCCCCTCTGGGCTAGACACTGCTCCCCGAACTGGGACACCCCTCCAGAGGGTCAGCGTAGTCGCGCTCCAGAGAGGTGAGCTGGAGAGGAGCCGTGCGGACCTCACCAGGCCCGGGGAACTCGGGGTTCCAGCCGGGGCCTTGCCTGCTGAGTGGGACCCTCATTTTCCTCTTGTTGACTTTTTTGTTTTAAACTCAGGGAGCCTGTGCAGCCTGGTTCTGTGGGCACAGCCCCTGGAGAGGCCGCTGTCTCTGGGGTGGGTGCGGGGGTGCGAGGCTCCGACAGGCTGCAGCAGAGCCTAGGCCGGGGCCACCTGGCTGGTCTCCGTCTTGGTCACAGTGGTGGAGGCCTCATCATCGCCCAGCGGGCTCTTGCCACAGCAGACGGTGGTGAGCATGCAGTTCCGGAACTGGAAGGCGAGGGGAAGCGTCACGGTGGGTGTCCCAAAGTGTGCACGCACCTGCCACTCCACTCTCCACTCTGGCTCCCTGGAGGGAACTTGCTAGGCACAGGTGACCCCACCCCAGACTGCCAGGGCCCAAACCCAAGGGGCCGCCATCACTGAAGGCGCTCCACGGTGCTATCTGGATACCCAGGGCTGTCTGTAACTATTGGACTTAGCCGAGGACTGTGAGATTCTCCCCTTCCTATGCAGGAAGCAGTGGAAACACAGAGAAGTGGCTTGCCCAAGGTCACACAGCTAATGAAGAGCAGAGTTGGGATTTGAGCTGTCTCCTGTTCCAGAGACTGTGTTTTAACAGCTGGTGATGGATTCTGCAGAGAGAGCACTGTGCTACCCGGGAGGATCGCTTTACCCCTCGGCCCTCAGAACAAGACTCTAGTTCTGTGTTCAGCTTGGTCTAGCCTGGGGCTTCGATCGTCTGATGTCTGACTTGTAAAGCAGGCCTCAGAACCGTCTAGACCAGCGAGTCTCATACAGAACCAACAGCTGGAGACCTTGTTAGGAGGCAGGTTCCAGGCCCTCCCTGGTGGCACAACAGGTTAGGACACAGCACGGCAAGCTGGCTGCAGCCGCTTCAGTGAGAGTTCGATCCCCGGCCCTAGCGCTGACTCACAGGGCGCAGCAGACCTCTCCTGACCTGCCCGCTGCTCCCCTCAGCAGTGGACTTCATAGATCTGCCTGTTCTGCTCCCCACTCTGTGTCTGGTGAAAGCTCTTACTGCCCCTGCACCTCTGGCTTGTATACCAGTTCTGTATAAATAAATAATCTTTGGAAAAAAAAAAAAAGAAAGAAAGTAAGGCAGATTCCTGGGCTGCCTGGAACATCTGATTAGGTGGCCTGGTAATCTGCATTTCTCTTGGCTACTCTTATCCTCTGGGGACACCAAGTCACTCACCCTAATTTTCAGGGGGCTCCTACTGCCCAGGGCACTGGCCCCTCCCACCCCGCCAGCAGGCACCTGCTTGTTCATCATGATATAGATGACCGGGTTGTAGATGGAGGCAGACTTGGCAAAGAACGCAGGCAGGGTCATGAAGATGGGGCCGAAGTTGGAGCCCTGGTGCGTGAAGATGTAGAATGCCACACTGGCGTAGGGCAGCCAGCAGATCAGGAAGGCGATGACCATGATGATGACCATGCGCGTGACCTCCTTCTCGGCCTTCTGGGTGGTGGCTGACTCCTGCTGCTGGGCAGCTGCCTGCAGGGACCCAGGGCCGGTGTCCAGACTGGGCCTGCGGGGCATGAGCTGGGCCCCCCCTGAGACCTCCGGTGGCGCCCGGGGGGGGTACCTCCTTGACGGTGAAGACCAGCTGCCCGTAGCAGAAGAAGATGACGACCATGGGGATGGTGAAGTGGACCACGAACATGTAGATGACGAAGGACTCGTTGTTGACCTCTGGCTTGAGAGTGTAGTAGTCGATCCCGCACGAGCACTGCAGGCCCTCAGGGATGTACCTGGGGCAGGCAGGGTGAAGCAGAGGGGCACGAACCCCACAGCCACAGCCTCGAGGGCCTCGTCCTGGGGCCACTCGCCCCCTCCTGCCTACCTGGCTACCTGCGTGATGTGCGCACCTGCCTGGCGCCCACCCGTGTGGCCCACCCCACCGCCCGGGGCACACCTGTGGCCTGACCCACCCGGAAGCATTTCTTCAGCTGCCCGTGTCCCCTGCGGCCCGAGGCCAGCGCTCAGGCTCTGCAGGCGGAGGTTGGTGGGGGGAGGGGGAGAGCGCCCCAGCAGCTGGTACAAACTGGGGTGTGGTGGGCATCTGGGCCACAGAGGGACACACAGAGTAACGAAAGGATCTTCATGTGGGTTCGAGGAGCAAGGGCCCCCAGCGCACGCGGTGAGGATGCTTCAATGTCCTCACTGAACCGACTTCAAAGA